AGACAAAATATTTCATCATTTTTTCCGATCCTCAATAATATTTTAAAATTATATGATTGATACTACGGTATTCTCTCTATGCATAGTACATTTTCACGTTATTCAACCCATCGTGTTCGCCGTGTCGAAATCTCGCTCAATGATCCATTTTTCCGTACAATGGCGTATCAGCGATCGAGACCTATATATCCATGCTGCATTTAGCCGTGCAGCAGGATGTGGGTTGCCGCTTTAGATCGGCCCGACCTCTCTTCTCTCTCTTCGATCTATGAATATTTTTACGAAAACGCAATTTACAGAGTGGGCAGAGCCGATTCCAGCCTCAGAAGTTCATCCACCGTGCAGCCGAGGTGCTATTGTTCGAAAGCCGACCGAGATGGAGACGAGGGGAAGTGAAACGCGGAGGTGGCAAGGAAGAAGGGAGGATGGGGCATCGGGAGAGTGATATGTATATGTAAGTTTTGTACGTACGCGAAGAAAAGTGGGCCTTTCCCTCGGAGTTCAGACAATTCTTACGCACTTCCACCGTGCGCGCGTCTATTTAATTTCAATCGATTGCCAATCTTTCCTCGATCTATTCCACCTCGCGGCGATCTGAAAGGTCACGACGGTTCGGTATGGCTTTATTACGTTTTATTGTCCTAATAATATATTTATCGAGATCCTTATTCGAGATTGATCGAACGTTTCTACACCTGGACACGATTTTTTTTTAATACAATGGATATCGTCATTGCAGAAATTTTAATTCAAATGTGTAATAATTACCGAAGTCAACTCTTGGGGATCGAAAGAGTTTCGGAAGAGAAACAGCGCGTGAAACAACTCGTATACCTGCACGGTCAATAATTTTCAATCGGCGCACCGTCTCTTAAATCGACCAACGAGGTCGACGTTATCGGTCCTTCTGCAGCAAGCACCATTATAGTGAGATACTGTACATGCCGATCCGTCGTTTAAGGGCCGCAAACGGAAGGCGGTTCGGTATTTTACGAGAAGACGAGCGTATCCTCCTCTCGCGGAGGAGAATATACAGAGTGTCTTTTTTGTTCTTCGATTGTAACTTCTTCGACCGGTTTAGAATAATTTATACTAACAAAATTGTCATAAATTTTTAAGGTTTAACGCCTATAAAATATACTTTATCCTGGAAGGATGTCCTAGAAGCATCCTTAGAACATGAAGACGTCTTCTTTAAAATATCCTTTGGAGATCTGTGCTGTATGAATGATGATTTCTAATAATTGATTCACAAATTCGTAAAATTAACTTTTCCCTAATTTCCAGACAAAATATTTCATCATCTTTTCCGATCCTCAATAATATTTTAAAATTATTTGTATTTTCATCCTGATTTAGAAACCTTTAAATATTTTATCGAGATAAATTTAATATTTAATGCTGACACTGTATTTTTAATTGTTAAATTGCAGGCAGTATTTCAAAACTACGTGTCATATACATATTAATACATTAAACTTCTTTAAAGACAAAAATTTAAATTTTCCAAAAAATTCTACAAAATTTCCTAACCGTTTTCAATGTCCTTGACAATTCTTTTCAGTTTTGTGGCAATCCCGTAGAACGATACGAAAAATGAAATAAAAAAAAAAACACAGATTTTCTCAATCATTTACGCCTCGAAGATTTACTCGAACACACATCAAAATCCTTCGACTTTTGACACCAATTAATATTACACCGTTCAACGTTTCCTCAAGCATTTCGAAAGCCGTCTGTCGTCGCCTTGCGCATTTTTGTCTAGCGATCTCTCTCGAAGGGACATCCCGTAAATATGCATACGCATGTCGCCCGTAGGGGAGGAAGGGAAATAATCGGAGGCACTAAACCACGATACCGCGTTGGCAGTTAGAGCCCTGTATCTCCGGTGCTGTCGCCGATGGTACAACACACGCCCGGTATTATTTGCGGGCTGCCACATTTGTCGTAGGTGGTCCCGCGACACGGCATTTATACACCGTATATAAGACGAGAACACGGTATATCGTCGTGCGTCTCGCGTTCCCCGCAAAGCCGATCTCGTGGATAAACTATCTCGCGCGATAAACCATCACCACCGTCGTCGCCGTTCCGCTAATTAACGACGGAATTAACGACGCCTCGCGAGATCATGGCCACAAGCAATTTTGTCAAAATCTTGAAAGAGACGAAAGTATATATACTTGTATGTACATGTACTGTCTCTCTGTGTATATCATCTCATTTTAATTTATACTATTTCACTCTGTAAACTTAATTGAAATTATAAAGTGAGACTGTATAAGTGAGATAGCATATTCTCTAAAATTTCTGAAGAATGAAATCTCACTCTAATTCGTTTCTATCAATACAGATTAACTTTAATCTCGATTCAGCTGATTCTTCATTTTTTTTTCTAATTCTAAGAATTAGAACCAAGATTAAAATTAATTATACCAGTAGGAACAGGCATTACATTGAAAATTGGTCCATTCTTTTTTCTTAAAAGACTCGTCCAATTTTCACATTCCTTAGAGTGAGAATTTCACTTCAAAGAATTCCACTCTAAAGAATTCCATTCCAAAGAATTTAAAAAGATATATATATATATTAGGTCATTTAAAAAGTATCCGCGGTTTTTCGTTCAATTTTTGAATGAAAAAACCGCGGATACTTTTTAAATGACCCAATATAATATATATACACAGAGAGATACATAGTATTATTTTTCTCTCTCGTAAGGTTTTAACTAAAATCGCTTATAGCCAGATTAGGTCTCCAAATAACGTCTCCAAATAAACGCGATTAACCAGGACGACGATCGATTCGGGGCTCGGACGCGCGAACGCGTTAATTTCTAACGTTGACAGACGTGAGATCTCGAAGGCGGGCTAACGGGCGAACGATTAATAAAGATGCGCGGGCACGCGTGTCACCGGATATAAGGTGCCCACACGGCCCCCATCGGCGTATATCGTGCGTTGCGTGCCCCGGCACCGACAGCGACGCAATCGACGCTGACTCGCGCCATACACACACATATACACACACGCACACGCACACGCACACGCACACACACATACACACACACACACACATATATATATATATA